GGCCATTCCCCCAAGGGGTGATTTCTCACTTTCTATCTCTCTGTCTCTCTTTCTAGCAAGTGCACATGCCCTATAGCAAAAACATCTCTCCAAAAAAAAAAAAAAAAATTCCTTTTCAAGTATACAAAAATAAAAGATTTCCAGATTTATAGTAAACCTGTTATTGGTTTATATGGAACTGAAGTCTCTGGTTCATTCAAATAATGAGATAAAGAATGGCAACAACAAGCAAGATAAGGCCTTTTTTTTTCTTTTAGTTTTACCTATAGAGTGCGTGTGCTTGCCAGAGAGAGGAGAGGGAAAGTGAGAAATCACCCCCTTGGAGAGATGGCCACACTGCAGTTCCTAATTACTTCCCCTCCATTCTCAGCTCAGGATTTGGGGCATACACACACATGCACCTGGCATATTTTCTAAGCCACTGGGTCTGGGACTCTTGACTGTGCAGTCAGTCATGTGGGATCCAGCACCTTAACCACCATACCACCTGCTGGCCCTGAAAATGCCCTCTAAATACTGTGTGTATATAAAATAAGTACTAAGTTATTCGTGCCAGCAGCACTAACCAACCCCTTAGAGACTAGAAAGGTTCACCGGAAGAGTTCCGGTAAAAGGAGCCAGTCCTGAAGAAAGGGCTGTGGGAGGCGCACTGTGGCAGATGCTGCCTCCTAGAGGCACCTTCCTCACGAGCGCTCGCATATGCCATGGAGCTCCGTAGTCCTGCAGATTTATTTTAACAAGGATAGGGAGATCTTATGTCCTAGTGAATGCAAAACAGATCTAACTGTACAAGGGCAATAATTCAGAGTAAGAAGTTCTTCTTTAAGTATACAGAAACAGCATGTGAACTAAACATATTAAACATTATTTATGACATCTGTATAATTTAACAAAAGGTGAACCGTTAAATATATAAGCCAAATAAATAATTTCTTATTTTCAGGTTTGATAGACCATTTTTCATTCACTCGTTTCTCTCTAAATAAAATATAACTAGTCATAAACATCATTTTAGTGCTAGAATACTTTGTAAACCTAATGAAACACTTGAGACTGAAGAGGCTGGGGCTGGCCTGAGGTCCTACTGAGATACATCCCGCATCCACCTCCTCACCTCCAGTCTAAAAGAGCTGGAGAAATAACAAAGAACCCCTATCTTCTGTAACTCCCTCAGAACTCTTCCTGAAACAACGTACTCAACTGTCACTCCTAATTACTAATAAGATTCATAACTTCAGATGCACTTTTTTCTGCAGCTGGGGGTGTATGTGCACTTGCCAGAGACCAAGAGATGAAGAGGAGGAAAGCACCTCCCAGCAGGGCATGGATGTGCCCTAATCCCTTCTCCATTTTTTCATACTGTTGGGATTTGGGGCACGCATGCGCACACACCGTGTGTGTTTTTCAAGCTGCCAGAGTCAGGATTTGAACCTTGTGGTTGGCTATGGGAGATCTGGCCCCTTTAACTACTAGGCCATAGAACCAGTTCTAAATGGACTTTTAAAAAACACTCTGATAGAGTGACTTTAGCCTCTAAGCATAAAGTTACTGGACAGCAAAGGAAAAAAACCCTCTGAAATTGTATTAATGTTCCTCTTAAATGTGTACTGGAACTGCCTTGCCATGAACTTTACAATGTGAACTATGACAGGTGGTATGTTACCTTACTGATGAATCATTTTCTTCTCATTACTAGCTACATAGATTCATGAAAAGCTACTGGGTCATTGGAAAAGTCATGATGCATTTTTGTACAAGAAAACACATCATGACTTTCCCGATGACCTAATACAATTAAGAACGGAAACCCAACCCTGTTTCCATTTCTCCCCCGAGAAAACCAATGATTAACTAAAGCAGGCAATTCGAGAAAAGAGCCCTGAAAGTGTAACTTGATCTGAATATGCCAGAGCAGTGTGGTCCTATTTTTTCAATGTGCAGGGGTCATCACAAACTCTGAACATCACCATGAAATACTTGGACAAACTGGGTGCTTCCCTTGCAGTGGAAGAGCACCCTTCATACAATAACACATCCATGAAGCAGGTTTCTATTTTTAATTTTTTTGCTTTGATAAATCAATTGTTTCACAAAAATCCTTTTTAAAGACAACAATCCAAGAAAACATATTGTTACAGTATTCACATTTTAAAGATTGTCAGTTTTAAAGACCAAACGTAACTAGAACAAATGAAGATTGCTGAGTTTGTTCTGTCACTAACCACCAGAGATGGGCCTTCACGACGGGGAGACACTTGCCAGGTGTGCTGGGGCTGGGCTAAAAGAAGGCGGTGCTTCAGTGCTCCCTCGCACAGGTGGAAACGAGTCGAGTGGTTCTGCAAGCTGCCGGAGCGAGGGAGCGAGCCGGGCCCCGTAGGCGGGCACACGGTACAAACTCCCTTACGCGTGCTCTTCAGACTCAGAGCAGGGTGGCCAAGTTGTGCACAGCTTGAGCTTCCTGGGAATGGCAAAGCCAGGCTCTGCCTGCTCAACAGCTGAACAGCAGGAACAACATGCTCAGTTTGGGCTGCAAACACATTCAAAGGAATCCTCAAGGAGAGAACAAGAACAGCATGGAGATGAAATCTGGCCATGTAAGATGGGAGCTCAAAGGGGATGTACTTCACAGACTCTCTCCACTATCCGAGGGCTGGGAATGGCCGTTGCTGGGATGCAAGCTGACACCAGTACGCTGGGCAGCAGTTTCATGAACTGAGACAGCTTGCTGTGGACCAGGCCCCCAACAAGCACATTAGTTACTTGGGGGAGAGGTTCAAGGAAACACAGGCTGTCTCCACACGTGCCTTCTGTCTAAATAGTCTGTTTCTCATTCCTCTGAATTTAGCAAGTAAGCATTTAGGGCTTAAGAAAACTGATGTCACCTGGAGAGAATACACTGGGAGGCTCAGCATGGATGCCCAGCTCTCAGGGCACAGCACCTGCAGCCTCCTCACACCCTCCATGACTCCAGGGAACATGAGGCCCAGGGACAGTGTCACATGGCCTACTCGTGAATCCCTGTTTTGTAAACATCCTCACTAATCTAAGCTGAAGAGCAGGGCAGCTGAAGGAAACAGAGGAGGCAGGGGAGGAAAACAGGAAGAAAAGGGCTGGTTCCCACAGGCCCTGGTTTTAGGGAATCCAACAAAGACGGAATTTACATAAAGTTAAAATGTTCTCATGGACTGCAGACGTGACTTAAAATATTAGAAATTTATTTATAAATATTCCTTTATAAGTAAGGAATGCAACGGCTGGCTTAAAATGTTATTCTCTCCCCAGGAGTTCATAATCAAGTTTTTCTTTTTGCTAAAGCTCCTGAAATATTTTTAAAGAAATTTCTACGTATTTCTTCTTGACTTCTAAGTTACCTAGAAAGCACTCCCCTATGATTAATTCTAATGTGGTTTTGGGGGCAAATCAGTTCCAGAAAAAATCTGCTCCAAAGGTGCCTCAGCATAGCCTTGGTCCTTAACCAATCGCCACTGCCGAGTCTCAGGACTGCGCCCTTTGCGGCCCCGAGCTGTCCTCCATAAGCAGAGCTTAGGGCAAGCGCCCTTTGCGGCCCCGAGCTGTCCTCCATAGGCAGAGCTTAGGGCATGCCATGAGGGTGACATAGAGACACTCTGCATGACACAAGGTGGCCTGTTGTCTGAGAAAAAGCCCCGCTCTCCAGTACACAAATGAAAACAAAGAAAACAAAACCCAGACTATTCTTTCAGTTTGTCTTGTCCCAGGAAACACAGTCCTAAAATGGCTCCAAATCGCATATGATCCCAAGAGAGGGAGGGTTCTGGAAGCACTGGGGCCACAACATCCACCAAGTATGACTGACACCAGGAGGCCAATACCAGACATTGCAGGCCGGCTGGTGGGGAGTGGCATGCCCTCAGCTGACTGCCTGGCTGGCTGTGACTGGGTGATGAAGCCAGAATGTCTGCTGTCACCTTAGCTCTGAGCCAAGGGGGAGAGCACATTTTATATTAGTTTATAATAAGCACTCTATGCATAACATATTTGACTAAAAAAACTAAAACGATACACAGCTAACACGGCAAAGCAGCCACGCAGCTGGAGTCGAGCTGGAGTCGAGCCGGAATACACATGATGAGAGCTGTCGCTGGTCACTGGCTGCCGTTTCTCCTCACTTGCCTCGAGTCCTGCTTAGTGAATTCCTTCAGATATGTGTTTACATCAAGTGTAAAATGCAATCTGAGATTACATAGAAAGAAACATCTGAAGCTATCAAAATTTCATTAAAGAGTTGTTTCTTTTACAGTAGTAAGTATATCACTGCCCTGGGAGGGCAGAGGACTGTGGGATGGTGACTAACTTTGAGCAGGTTCAGTAAATTTGGTCAATTCAGAACATTCCAAATTGAAGTAGCAAGCACGTATTGTTTCTCTTCTAGAAATTTTAACCTCAGTATAGTCATAATCCAATTCATAACGAATTTACAAAAATAGCTTTTTATCCAATAATTCCAGCAAGGTAAAAATAGGAGTTTCTTTTTCTATATAGCAAATGAAACAGGCTCACGGAATATGAGAGAACTTAAACTTGCTTAAATCGCCATCCACTCTCTATGAAATCTCACTCAGTCTATTCTGTGTGGTGGTGTCACCTCACACTGGCAGTTTCAGGTGCAGAAGCTTCTTTCAAATCCGTGGGCTGCTGGCCCACCAAGACCTGCTGTAAACCACAGAACTAAATGAAAACTGCATAATTTTGTAGAAAACGGCAGTACTACTCCTTAATCTAATTAGGGTCTCAAAGGGGGGTTGTCATTCATCACATTTCTATAGCTAAACCTTTAAAGAATTTCTTTAAAAACCCACGCATGCACACACACACACACGTGTGCGAGCATGCTCGCACACACACACACACGCACACATTTGAAAGAAGTCACTGCACCAGCAAAGACGCTCTGTAAGCTTACTATGAAATACAAAAGTGCACTCCTCTATATCTACATATAAAACATATTAGAAGTCAAACTGTGTAAAATGTTTGCTGTGCAAACTATAAAAAGTCAGGCGGTGGCCACTGTGTCCCTACTGCAGGGAGCCACTGCTCTCCAGGACAAGCCCGCTGATGTGGGTGGGGGCCAGCGCACCCCCGTCGTCCTCTGTGCTGTCCACAGACTCATCCTCGCTCTGTCCCGCCATCATGACCTGCTGCACCGCCAACGTGGCCCCGTCCGAGGACAGGGATTGGAGGCTGTCCACATTCATGTTCACAGGTGTGGTGATGGTTACAACAGCTCCTGCAGCAGAAGGTGGGTCTGGCATTAGTTAAATTTGGACTCACAGAGTCCAGATTTACTCCGCTGGGTGCTGCTTGCTTGCTTCCCTAAAGCTAAGATACTATATATGCTCACTGAGTGTTCAACATGAATTCAAAGACTTCTTGACCCCCTCAGCTGATAAGGTCTTGGTCTAATGTCAGATCCAGTGGGGATTAGGACTATAAGGAATAAGGATTCCCCAGGGCAAAAGGTATTACATGGAAAACAGAAACAAAGACATGGTAGACAGACGTGCAAGATGAATATAAATGGGGCAGGAAAATGGAGAATAAAGTAAGAGGTAAAGAAGATCAGCTTGAAAGAAAAAAATGAAACCACCTAACATGCTACTTGCCACACAGCTTACAGCAGCAGCAGAGGATGGCAGCCACCCAAACACCAGGAGCACAGCCTGGATTAAAGACACCAAACAAGGGACCACTGTGCTGCGATGGAACACAAGCACCAATGGATCGACAAGCACCAATCAGTAAAAATCCCCAAGATGAATGAATATATGATCAGCACAAGAGGAGATGGTGCTGTATGCTACACTAACACCTAGGTAACATTTCACAAGAGAACCACTCATTCCTGAGCATGCACGGGCTAGTGTAACCTCTGCACACTAGAGCATAAACAGGAAACTGGTTGTAGTGCCTTTTTTTTTTTTTTTTTTGAGAAGAGCAGAAGCCAAGAAGAAGGAAGATCTACTTCAGTGAAAAGTGAATATTCTTATTTGAACTTTTCCCCAATAGATAGATAGAAAAAAAGAAAACTTGTTTTTGGTCCTTTTTTTTTTTTTTTTTTTTTTGAGAAGAGCAGAAGCCAAGAAGAAGGAAGATCTACTTCAGTGAAAAGTGAATATTCTTATTTGAACTTTTCCCCAATAGATAGATATTCCCTTTTCTGAGAAAGATGTGTGGGGAGAGAAGGGGGTGGGAAGAGAAGGGAAAAGACAGAGAAAAGGAAGAATAATATCTTTCTAATTAATTATTGGATTAAAAGAGAAAACAAAAGCCGAGAATATAAATTCTGTGAAATGAACGTAAGACCACTGTACATGGAAACTTAAATGAAGCAGCCAAAGCAGTACTTGGGAAATTTGACTTTACATGCATATAACACTACTCAAGAGAATTGAATGGACACAAAAGAAGAGTGACTGACAACCCAGCCTACCCTGGAGGGACACGCTACCGTGGAGCCCCCTTGAGCATGCAGCAGAGAATCCAGCAGCATGTACATGTGAGGAAATGACCTGAGGCATCTGAGAAAGTGACAGAGAACAACACTCACCACAGCCAGTATAGAAAATGAGACACTGAGTAAGAACCTACAGAGGTCTAGCCCCAGGCCTAGGCATGATTAGCCCTGGACCAATCTCTCTGTGGACATCCAACAAATAGCAGAAGCTAAAACCCAAAGGATCAGACTGTTCTCAAGTAAACTATATTCCAGCCCAAGAACACTCACAGAAGTGTTCAAAAACATCTGGCACTGGGAACCAGCAGTTAGCATAATGGCTATGTCGCTGGACTCCCACGTAGTCGACCGCGGTTCGCGTCCTGGACCCGGTGGCTTAAAACTCACGCCAGGCGCGTGTGCGCATGTGGCCAAGATCCTGAGAGGAAAATGGAGGAGAAGGGATTGCGGTGTGACCATCCTCTCTGGGGGAAGATTTCTCGCTTTCTGTCTCTATGTCTGTCTGGAGAGCGCACGCGCCCCTGTAGCAAAAAAAAAAAAAAAAAAATCTGGCACCCAATAAGGCAAAACTCACAGGTCAAAGATTATCAGGCTTGGGGCCAGTAGGTGGTGTTATGGTTAGGGTGCTGGACTCCCATACAGCTGACCACAGTTTTAGTCCTGGACCTGGCAGCTTGCTTTCTCACTTTCCCTCACTTTCCTTCTCTCTCTCTCGTGAACAATAAGTTAAAATAGTAATAATAATAAATAAAATTAAATAAAAATAACTCTTTAAGAAAACAACACAGCAACAAAGATTGCCAGGAATGCACATAGACAGGAAAACCCATAGCATGGAGAACCACCAGTCAGTTGGAACTGAACCAGAATTGACTGAGATCTAAGTCTTAGCAGAGAAGAAAAGCAAGGAGTCAGACAGTGGCACAGTGATAATATGACACTCTGCAAGGCTGAACTGCATGGGAAGGTTCCAAGTTCATGTCAAGAGACTTAAAACACCAGGCACACACATGCTCATGATCTGAGGCTAGTTTAAGCTGGGAGTGTATTTTGGTATGAGGTCTCTACTGGGGGTGTACCCATCTTTCTAGCTCCTGGTTCTTGGAAGAAATAATAAACTCACAAAAAAATTTATCACAAAATATTCTATGTGTTCAAGACTTAAGTAGACTTATGAAAGATATAAAAGGGTCAAAAAAACCTTCTAGAAATATGAAGATTAAAATAGTTAAGATGAAAAACATACTGTATAGGATTAATATAAGATTAAACACTGCAGAAGGTAAGATTAGTGAAGTGGAAAAGGAAAAACAGAAACTATCCAAAACAAAACACAGAGAAATACCCTCCCCTGGTGTGGGAGAACAGAAAATGTATTTGAAAAAATGGCCCAAAACTTTCCTGAAAAATGGTATATTGCTGAGCAAACAAAAGAAAGAAGCAGGATGAAGCAATACTATATACATAACATTTCAAAATATGCATACACAACAACCCAAATTTAGAGCTCACATAAACAGAAAGATGCTCATGAAACACATTATAACAGCCACCTGTTATGGGAAAGAGGTCAGTGGGAATAAACAAAAGGAAGAGAAGGGCTCATGGACTGTTTAAAAAAGGGTAAGATGACATGTGGTGAGAACAGGGTCAATTCTATCCTTTGCGTCCAAAGTAGGGGGAAAAGCAAAGCAAAATTAAGACAAAGAACAAAGTATCTTCTCAATTACTATGTCTTTGAGATACGCTTGTACTTTAATTTCATTTTTCCATGAACTTCGTGACATTTCCTTGCATACAGTGTGTTAATTCTTTACCACTATGTTCTTCAACACCTGTCTAGAAAGCACCCAGCATGAAGTTTTCTTATATTTTAGATGCAGAGAAAGAACATGTGTGCTTTGTTTCACAGCACTACTGAGGACTCCCAGCTAGCAGACCAAACATTTAATTCATACCCCAGCCCCACATCTGCCTCCAGGGCCTGCTCCCCATACCTTCTGACATGGCCAGCTCACTTGGTGGCGGCTGTGCAACACCTGATGCAATAGAGTCTGGCCAAAACCTCTGAACTGGCCTGTTCTGAGCAGTTTTTTTCTTTGTTTTCGGAGTCTCTGAACAACTGGAATCCAACATTGGCTGAAGAATCCGTCTTCTGGCATTGATGAACCTGTGTATCAACAAAGGGAAGCTTGTGTCAAATTGGTCTTTGAAAGACATTGTACAAGGTCAACAAGTACCTCTTTTTTTTTTTTTTTTAAAGGTTTCTGCCATAGAGTGCATATGCTCACCAGAGAGACTGTGAGAGCGAAAGTGAGAAATCACCCCCTCACACACAACGTAGGGATGGCCACACCTCAATTCCTTATCTTCAAATATCCTCCTGGGATTTTGGGCACACATGCACAAGTGCTGGTGTGATTTGAGTTGCTGGGTCCTGAACTCAAACTGTGGTTGGCCATGTGGGAGTTTAGCACCTTAACCACCATACCACCTGCTGGCCCCAACAAGACTACTAATAAGCATGCTAAAGAGAGTAACTCACATTTTCCATTATAATAGATACTTAAGAAGAATGGTAAGCATATAAATCATCAACATGCCCAGAAAAACAGGGCCTTCTCTTTTAAAAATGATTTATTCAAATAAGGAACAACTCTTACCTGCCACCCTTTAAAAAAATTTTTTTTGGAGAGGTTTGTGCTATAGAGCGTGTGCGCTCACCACACAGACAGAGACAGAAAGCAAGAAATCATCCCCTGGGTGGGGGGGTGGCCACACCACAATCCCCTCTCCTCCATTCTCCTCTCAGGATATTGGGCATGCATGCACACGCATCTGGCGTGAGTTTAAGTTTTACGCTAATTGCTGGTCCCTCCTTTTTAAAAATCTTTTACCTCTGGGACCAGCAGTTGGCATAATGGTTATGGTGCTGGACTCCCATGTAGTCGACCCCGGTTCAAGTTCTGGACCTGGTGGCTGAACAGTGACACAAGCATCAGAATGTTCAAAGTGCCTCTGTGTCTGTCAACCCTGATCAAGTGATCAATCATTGCCATGATCCAACCAAAATAAATGCTTCATCATAAGATTACATGAAAATAATCAAGAACATCACTGCAACAATACATTTGAAATCTTTACATATTTTTAGGGTTTGTTTTGTTTTGTTTTGCCTTAGGGCATATATGTTCATGGAGAGAGAAGGAAAGTAAGAAACCACCCACTGGGGGGATAGTCATGCTGCAAGCCCTTCTTCATTCTCTTGGGATCCTGGGAACACATGCACACATACCCAGTGTAATTTTCAAGCTACCGAGTATGGGACTCTAACTGCAGTCAATATGTGAACGTCCAATGCCTTAACTACCAGGACAAAACCTTTACATTTTTTTTTTCAATTTTATTTATTCACTCATTTTTTCATTAGACCAGAGAGAGACACAGAGAGAAAAAGGGAAAGTGAGAAAGCAAGCCACCAGGTCTAGGACTCGAACCATGGTCGGTCACGTGGGTGTGTCCAGCACCTTAACCACCACGCCACCTACTGGTCCCAACCTTTACATTTTTGTTATCATTCTATTTAAAAGACTTATATCAAGATATAGTTTTGGAGCCAGCAGGTGGCATGATGGTTGAGCCACTGGACTCCCACATGGCCAACCATGGTTTGAGTCCCAGACCTGGTGGTTTGCTTTCTCACTTTCTCTCTCTCTCTTTCTTTCTCTCTGGTGAGTACATGCACCAAAGTAAGAAACCACCCACTGGGGGGATAGCCATGCTGCAAGCCCTTCTTCATTCTCTTGGGATCCTGGGAACACATGCACACATACCCAGTGTAATTTTCAAGCTACCGAGTATGGGACTCTAACTGCAGTCAATATGTGAACGTCCAATGCCTTAACTACCAGGACAAAACCTTTACATTTTTTTTTTCAATTTTATTTATTCACTCATTTTTTCATTAGACCAGAGAGAGACACAGAGAGAAAAAGGGAAAGTGAGAAAGCAAGCCACCAGGTCTAGGACTCGAACCATGGTCGGTCACGTGGGTGTGTCCAGCACCTTAACCACCACGCCACCTACTGGTCCCAACCTTTACATTTTTGTTATCATTCTATTTAAAAGACTTATATCAAGATATAGTTTTGGAGCCAGCAGGTGGCATGATGGTTGAGCCACTGGACTCCCACATGGCCAACCATGGTTTGAGTCCCAGACCTGGTGGTTTGCTTTCTCACTTTCTCTCTCTCTCTTTCTTTCTCTCTGGTGAGTACATGCACCCTATAGCAAATTTTAAAATTATAGTAATAATATATTAAATTAGATTAAAATAGTAATAAATGAAAAGATATAGTTTAAATACTATGGCCTATTATTGCTACCCAAATAAAAAATAATCCAGGAACCAGCAGATGGCATAATGGTAACATCGCTGTTCTCCCACATGGCCAGCTATGGTTCAAGTCCCAGACCTGGCAGCTTGAGACACATTGGGTACATGTATGTGTGTACCGAAAATCCCAACAGGAGAATGGAGGGGAAGGGATTATGGCATGGCCATTCCCGCTGGGGAAAGATTTCTCACTCTCTATCTCTCTGTCTCTGTGTGTCTCGTGAGCACATGCACTCTATAGCAAAACAAAAAAAAAACAAAACAAAAAAACTCTCTCTAAAAAAGTAAATAATCCAAATGTAAAATATTAGAAATATTTAATATGGTACCAAGGCATACCTCCAGCATATGTAACTGCAGCAATAGGGCCAGCTTATCTTTTATATCAACAAGTTTACATTTTAGCATAGATAAACAGTGTTTATAAGCGACAGAACTTGCACTTGGTCTTTCATGCCTACTGATCTTATTAAACTGAAATTGCTTCTTACAGTAAGTAAATAAAAATGAGATAAATACCCAACAACCAAAATGGAAGTCCACTGCTATACCTCACTGCCACTAGTAATGTGCACAAGCATCTCTTTAAGAGAGAACATGTGGCCAGAGCCCAAGTGTCCAGAACCAGAAGAGGAGGTTTACTAACAGACACAGACATGCCTGTGGGCATTTCTCTCCCAGGAATGGCTCCCAGGCCCTCTGTGGGTGAGACTGTTACAAGATGCACATGAGGCATAGGGGCTGCCACTCCAGGTGGAGCTGGAAAAGTGACATGAGGTCCAAAAAGGTCTCATCGGACATAAGGATCCTGTGTTCCTGCTCAGCCACTGACACATCACAGTTCTGAGTGAACACAGGAGCTTGGGGGTAGTAATGCCATAGAGAAACATTTTTGTTTTTAATTTGCCAGAGGGTATGTTCACTTTCAAGAGACAGAGAGGGACAAAGCACCCCTGAATGGGATGGGGCCATGCTGCAATCCCTCCTCCTCCATCTTTCCATCTATTGGAATTTTGGGCACACACATTCACCCGCTGTCTTTCAATATACTAGGGCTGGGACTCAAACCGCAGTCGGCTGTGTGGGATCCAGCTTTCTCAACCATCAGGCCACAGAGCCAGCCCTGAGAAACATTTCTAATTAGGACATGAGCCAACATCCTTGGCAAGGTACTGCTCATTAAAATTCAGGTTGAGAATGTATGCTGATTCATCTTGATACATCTTGCCTCAATCCCAGCACTCTAATAACAGGGTATTGCTGGTTAGAAGAACTTGTGTGGCATCACAAGGTGCCATGATGGTTAAGGTGCTGGATACTCACATGGCTACTGCAGTCTAAGTCCTGGATTTGGCAGCTTAAAAATCATGCTGGGTATGTATGCATGCATGCCAAAAGTACCCAGGGGAGAATGGAGAAGTGATTGCAGCATGGCCATCTCTGGGGAGTGATTTCTCACTTTCCCTCTGTCTCTCTGTCTCTCTCCTATAAGCACACATGCCATATGGCAAAAAGCTAAAAAAAAAAAAAAATAGAACCCATGTATTTTCAACACAACTGGGCCATCTGAAGGACAGGATTTGCAGACGGTGGCCCTGTCAAAGGCATGACTTCAGAAAGTGCTGCCCTTACCAGTTGTTGACTTGGAGTAGTGTCAAGTTTGTCTGAGCAGCAATCTGTTTCTTCTCATCCTCTGTTGGGTAGGGATGCTAAAAATAAAAAGAAGGGTTACTATGGACTTCTGCTTTCAAAAGGAAATTAAGATTATCTATAGAAAAATAAGCACACAAAAAGTCATTAGTAAAACACTAGTAAGTATCAACAGTGCTTGTAACCAAAACCTAACTTTAGCCTTACATATCTTATTTCTGGAAATGTCCACAACAGAAACAAGTATTTCTCCTCGCTGTCCACAAGTGTTCTGGTGCTGTGGCAGCTGATCAGGGCACAGGCAAAGATGAGATCAGCGCATCGTCCAAAGGATTAAAGGTGACACTTGTCCCAGCAATGTCACTGAGAGCGGCGGCTGGCTGCAGGTGTGTTCCCACACAGTCTTGGCTTCCTGGCTCTGTTGAGGCTTAACTTACGTACAACAACAAGCACCCACCCGAAGTGGGTAAATGGGCGAGTTCTGACCCATTACACACTACATTCCTATTATCTCTGTGCACTTCATAGTAACTCACTGATTCTTCACAAGTACTCCCTGAGATAGACGCTGTCCCTCTCTATTTTGCAGATGAAGAAGCTAAGGCGTGAAGCATTTTCAGAAGTGCAGGCAGGAAATGGCTAGGTGGCTGCTCTAGGGCTCATGAGTGGCAGGGGCACATTCCTCTCACTGGTGGCACAAAACACACTGATACTGGGATGTGCTGGTGTCATCTCTGGGTTTCTCAGGATCCCATCTCTGGAGTACCCTGTGCTGTCAGTAAAGAACAAAATCTAGGGCAGGGGATGGGAGCATCTGCTCCGTTATCCTTCTTTTGTGTATGATTGAAACATTTCACTAAAAATAACAGAATTAAACAAGAAGGTCAAATTTCACAGAGCTGTTTTAAGGAAAATTATTTCTATTTACAGTAATAGACAATTTTTTCAAGGTTGAATACTGTCTACATGTAGAAATAAAAAAGACAATCATTCTAAAACCTGCTTGCACCAAAGTACCTCATCAAGGATCAACTGGAACCCAGAGCATGAATGGCACCAACAAAGACAGAGGTAGGAATTTGTTTTTATTGGGTCATCAGAAAAGTTGTGATGTATCTTTGCATAGGAAAACAGAAAAATACATCATGAGTTTTCCAGTTTAATTTTAAATGAACACTCCAGGCGATTTGGAAGTCACTGCATGTTACAGGGGACAGAACGGCATTGGCTTTATCTCCACAGTGATCTATCTGTTCCTTCAAACTAACTGCAAGTATGTATAGGTGAGTGTATGGCTCTGAGTTTGAGGTTACAGAAATGCAAATATTGTTCTTGTCCTTTAAAAAGCTCGTAAAATACAAATGGGGCAGGAAACATGGGCACACAAATCAGAAAGAAAAACAAACATGGGGCCAGCAGGTGGCATGGTGGTTGAGGTGCTGGACTCCCATATGGTCGGCTGTGGTTTGAGTCCCAGACCTGGCAGTTTGCCTTGTCACCCTCCCTCTCTCTTTCTCTCTGTCTCTCTGGTCAAATTGAATAATAATAAATAAATAAAATGGTTTAAAAAAAAAACACGAACAAATGCTGCTTTAGTGAGTTATGAGAACCACAAGAGAAGATGGTATTGCAAAGAAAGGAGGGCGAGAAAGGACAGAAAATGTTTTACAGGAAAGAAAGTGGCATTTTAGTTGAACCTCATAAACAGGTCTTATTGTTTTAGAAACTATTAAAACACTGAAGAAAACCTAGAAGGTGAAATATTCGGTCAAGCTCACCACTTCTTTGTGCTGCAATCATTACATCACAGATGCATTTGTTGGTTGTAGTGATCACGACATATGTAAAAATACATGAGTTCTTTTTCGCGATCATGTCCCTAAAGTTTCCTACTGCTTATGGCTGACCTTGCTTATCTGTTAACTATGTGTGAATTATTCCGTCAAACTGAGGCCAGCCAGTGGCGTTGCGGTTAAGGTGCTGGATTCCTACATGGCTGACCGCAGTTTGAGTCCTAGACCTGGTGGTTTCCTTTCTCACTATCCCTCTCTCTATCTGTCTCTCTCTGGTCAAATTTAAAATAAAATAAAATAAAAGTCTTTAAAAAAATTATTCCATCAAACTGATGAGTCCTATACCATTTCATTGTCGATTATTAGAATGAATGTCAAGGTAACACTTTGATATGTGAAACCTTTCATCTTGTGTGATGCTCTTTCTAGAAGTGGTTGCACTGCTTGGTGTATGGTTCACTGTCTTACACTGAGGGAACTGACTCAGTGAGGAGAGGCTGGGGAACCTAGCACACAGGGGTGAGACCTTCTGGCTCCTCCCAGGCCTCCTCCACACACCCCAGGACTGCTCAGCAATCTCACCTGCCAGTTTCCTGCCCAGAGCCAACCACTGCCTCACAATCCTGCCCTCAACCAGGAGTCCAATTACTGTCACAGGAAGGAGGAAGGGAGTGCTCCATATAGACACAACTAAGACCCTGAGGGTCTTGGAACAAGTGACATAAGTCCAAGGCTTGAGGTTCACAGGCAGGAGAGGACAGACTGAGTACCACAGGTAGATGTGGGCCTTGGCCCCACAGTGGACGCTGGGAAATGGGGAAGCCAGGATGGCTGCCAAGCTAAGGCCTAGGGCCTCTGCACACAGCATCAGTACCCTTGGGCAAGAAGAAGGCAGTGGAAATGTGGGAGCCACACCACAGGCCCCAAGAAGACAAGGCATAGATGACAGCAGGGCAATGTGGAGAGCAGGGCAAGCAGGCGTGGGGCTGAGCAACACAACTCTTAGGCCTGTGCGGCAGAGGCCATGGCTACCGGGCCTGCCAAAGGAGCAAGTGCCACGTACACTCCGAACGCTGGTGTGGGGACTTGGCCAGAGGGCTGCTTTGTGTTTCACAAGGCAGTGGGACAGCTGGCAAGAGGTCTGAGAGCGGCATCCCACTTGGCCCTGGACCGCCTGTCCCTTCCATCTGCAGCAATGGCCCGTGGTCTCTCTCCCTCCTCCTTGGCACTGCTATGGCTCGGCAGGTGGTGCCACTTTCTGCCTTAGCCTCGCTGTGCATGCCTTCTCTGAGAGCCAAGCCTGGTCATTCCTGACACTGCCTATGAGACCAGTGTCACTCAGCACCCCACCCTGGCTAACAGAGCAGGCTGACAGTGACCACATCAAACACCATGAGCAGCAAGTCTTCCTAGTTTACTTGGCAAGTGCACCCCTACACTGTACTTGCTGGGATAGCTTTGGGACAAGAAGATGCCCCCTACCCACCTGCAGCTGCAGCTCAGAGGGGGAACATGAGGTACACTGTGGGGCAGACTCAGGTCCAGTGAAATGGCCTGTGGCTTGCCGACTTAGCAAGTCTTCCTCTCAAATATTCCACCTAGAAGCACCACGGCTTGCCAAAGTTTGCCCCGAAGCATTTTTTTCCTGCCCGCATGCCTGGCCTGTGACCCTTTGTGGGCAAGGTGTTTCCCTCATGCACATACAACCAACAGGAGCCTAACCAACCCTCCCACCAGCAGGTCCCTTGTGTTTTCAGTTTCATAAAGCCATGTCCTCCATGTGTTGATGACCTCCCTCCTGCCCTGCTTGACCCTTTATGGACATTCAATGCAACAGTGCTGGTGCTTCGAATCAGCCTATGGTCCACACAGGTGAAGTTTCCCGTGACACACAGCTAGACAGCAAGCCCCTTCGAGGGCCACTCACTGTGTGCTCACTGTGGTTCTTACCCCTATGTGCTGAAAGAGCCAAGATCGCATCACATTGGTAGCATGCTTCGGCAGAACTCCCCTTTTATTCTTAGATGAGCCATCATCTTGATGCAAGATGCTTAGATCTTGGTTTAACTGTAACTGAAGCTTTTAAACAAGTGAAAAATAACGTTAGAAAACATAGGAAATTACAGTATATCCAAGTAGCTCACGAATTCAGGAGAAAACGTCCAAGGGTCTTACAGATAAATGGCTTGTCTGCAGTGAAGGCTTACATACTGGAACCCTGTGCAGACTGAAGGACTTGGCTCTCCCCACACTACAGCTCTTCATGTGGCTCAGCTCTGCAGAGGCCCCTTGTCAGCAAGGCAGAGGGACAGAGGAGAATGGAGGGCCTCTGGGTCCTCTATGGAGCCAGCCTCACCGCAGGCAGGGGAGGCTCAGATCCCTCAGCTACCATCTGTCCTCACTATCGCTTCCTGTGGTAAGGTAAGTGATAACTCCCAATTTCCTAGCATAAGGATTTAAGCAGCCAGTGAGAATGAACAGGGGCACAAGGAAAAGTGTGAGCAAGACATTCCAGGAGAACGGAAGGGAACGGCACACTGCTAGCAGCCATCCACGGGTAGACAAAGGCTACAAGGCAGCAGGGCTGTGGTGGCCACCCTGTGGTCCGAGGCTCCTCAGCACTGCAGACTGCCTTCCCTCTAGACACCGTTCTGTGGATTGTGTTTTAAAAGCTAAGGGTGCATCTGGCACTTCTTTGATAAATGTCTTATCACAGAAACTCAAGAAAAGGTCCGCTTACCAGGCTCTGGCCCAGCCTCCCTCCCAGGTGCCCACAGAGAGAATGCTTGCTGCTCACTGCACAGACGATGGGCAGAAGGAAGGGAAGAGGAAAGCAAGAAAAATCACTCGCTGTGCATAGCTTGGACAGTTCAGGCCTATCTGAGAACCTACACATAAGCCTAACTTTATAAACATCAAAGTCTATTTTTTTTTTTTAATTTCTGTTGTAGGGCATGAGCACTTGCTGGAGATGGACAAGAGACAGAGAAAGAGGGAAAGTGAAAAAGCACCCCCCAGGAAGGATGGCCACACAGCAATCCCTTCTCCTCCATTCCTCCCCCTCAGGATTTTGAGCATGCAAGCACATGCACCCAGTGTGTTTTTCAAGCTATTGGGCTGGGACTCGAACTGTGTAGCCAGGCATGTGGGATCCAGCCACCTTAACTACTATGCCACTGCTGGCCCTCAAATTCTATAGGTCTTTGAATCAAACTGTATAAATGCTTTTAAAAACCCATATTGTTTTTCATAAAGATATATGAATATAGGTAAAGCAAATACTACAATTTAAAACATTTTATAGGTCAATTTCAGCATAATACACCAATACATAGTGTGAAGGATCAGGAAGTTTATTTTGGAGACATTTTTACGGTATTACTTCATTTGTACTTCCTCTGGACTGACACTATACCTGTTTGGATATAGTCTTCAAAAATTTGAAAATCAACATCTAAATAGATAGCAGACAAAGACTGAATTTTATGACCTTAAAGTAGACATTAAGATCATTGACCACGCCTAAAATTTCTTAAAACTCAAGCCAATTCTAAGAAAATAATTATTCTTATGAACGTATTTGTTTGTTTAAGGGCTGAGAACAAATGGTGTTAACATATGCTTGTATGTTCATGTTTTAGTGTATAGCGGAAAAAACGTTTGAAAAAGAACTTTTAAAATGAGTTTCAGTCTCTGACCTCTCTCCTGCTGGGGAACTTCATGCTCTGGGACAGGGCCTTTAGTCAACTCCCAGCCTTCTGCCCCCCTCTCCCCAGGACTGTTTGGCAACCTCACCCACCAGTTTCAAACCTAGAGCAAGACACGCCAGGCAAACAGAGACCTCAGGCCCTGCCCTCATCCAGGGAGTCAAATGCAGCCAGAGGAAAGAGGGGTGCTCTGCACAGATGCAGCTAAACCCAAGGGTCCTCAGGTTGAAATCCAAAGAGAGTTCCCTCCTTGATGCCCAGGACTGGAGGACAGCCCAGAGATGGAGGTGGCGGCAGAGCTCTGGAAGGAGCGTCATCAAACAGGGGGGCTGTAGGTAGGTAAAGTACCCAGAGGCTACCAGAGAGCATGTGAGAGGGAATCATGATACGGCAGAAACTTAGCACACAGGGAAAGGAACACAGTGACTGACAGGTAGAAACATACACTTGAGCCAGATAAGCCATGATCCTGGCCTCACCTGGCACAGTAGTGGCCAGGTCCAAGTGCCCACTGGCCAGCTGCAGTGTCAGTGCGGCAGGAAGACAGAGTGGGGGAGAGAGTGAGCACCACCATGACAGAAAGTTGGTACACATGGTAAGAGACAACCAAGAGACAGAATTTTTATTTAGAAACACAGAGAAAAGGGGCAGAAGAAATGGCTTGGAGGGATCTGCAGGAGGGGAAGGAAAGAAATGGAGGTAAGAGGGCCAGCAGGTAGCATGGTGGTTGGGGTGCTGGACTCTGCTGTTTAAGTCCCAGACCTGGCAGTTTGCTTTCTCTCTCTCTCTCTCTCTCTCTCTGACTATTGCAAGTTAAAAAATAAATAAATGGAAGCAAAACCCCAAAGTGCACGGAGTAACAATGTACAGAGGCGACTCTGCTGGGGAAGGGGGAGGGTGTAGGTGAGGGCACCCAAGAGACCATACCCATGGTCATTTCCCATTTTCTCAGAAAGTGCTTTCAATGGGTTTGTGCTGGAAGTGTAATGAAACACTCTGTAGTTGAAAGAGCGTCCAGCTCCTGTGTGCTTGGCCTGCATGCACGGGCCAGGATGGCCACATGGACTGCTGACTCCCTCCTGGCAGCAGCAAATTCACCCTCCGTTACATCTCCCACAGGAGTGGGAGCACATCACCAAGCCTGTGACATGCTGGTGGCAGACAGGGGTCTCTGAGTGACAAGATGGACCTGGCTGGGAGCCAGGGTCCAGGGACACTCAGCACTGTCACTACACAGTTGCTGTGGTGCTGCTAAGCAGAGCAAGCTGGTGGCACCACGACAGAGAGTCATCACTGCTTGGCAAAGCCACACCTAACCGTTTCTGATACAACCCACAGAAACCCTCACTGGGACAGTGTTCGCCTTAATTATGTGAAACATGGCAAGAACCCAAACTTTGGCCCAAAGAGGAAAAAGCAGCCCAAACAGCTAAACAGAACAATACATAAGATGTTTTATTCAAAGATCATCCACTCCCCACGACCCTCAACTGAACCTATTTACTTTAAATCCAGAAAACCCTAAATAGCTTGCTATCAGGCTTCCTGGCCCTAGAGGCTATAAACAACTGGGAGACATGAGGCAGAGGGGCAAAGCAGGGGCAGACCCTGGGCGACAACAGGGAGTTATCCCCACCAGAGTCCAAGGATCTGAGGGTCCTGCATGTGCGCATCAGACGGGAGGGGTCTGCTAAAAGATCCAAGCAGAGTAGGACTGCTACTTACTTACATTTGTTTTGTTTCCTTTTGTTGTCACAGAGCATGCACACTCACCAGAGAGAGACAGGGAAAGTGAGAAATCACCAGGGAGGCTAGCCACACTGTAATCCCCTCTCCTCCATTCTCCTCTTGGGATTTTGGGTACACACTTCTGGCATAATTTTTTTTTAAAGAATTATTTTTATTTTAACTTTATTATTATTATTTTCCAATCTGACCAGAGAGAGACAGAGAGAGAGGGAAAGTGAGAAAGCAAACTACCAGGTTCGGGATTTGTACTGTGGTTGGCCATGTGGGAGTCCAGTGCCTGTAGCCACCACACCACCCACTGGTCCCTCGGCATGATTTTTAAGCTGCAGGGTCCAGGATTCAAACTGTGGTTGGCCATGTGGAAGTCCAGTGCCTTAACCACCACACCACCTGCTGGTCCACAGGCTTGCTATTTAAATGAGTCATCTTTGCTTATAAGGAAAACTCAGTTTAGGAGAAAACTTCCTCCAAAACAGGAAAAAAGAACCTTTACTAAGTAAGACATCTGACTTGAAAATATTTTTCTCTAAAGAGTATATAGGGACCAGCGGATGGTGTAATGATTATGTTGCTAGAGTCCCACATAGTGGATTGCGATTCAAGTCCTGGACCTTGCGGCTTAAAACTCACACACTGGGTGCATGTGTGTGCATGCCCAAAATCCTGAGAGGAGATTGGAGGAGAAGGGACTGCGACATGGCCATCCCCCCAGGGGGTGATTTTTCAGTTTCTGTCTGTCTCTCTGTGTGTATCTGGTGAGCACATGTGCCCTATAGCAAAAATCTCTCTCAAAAAAAAAAGAAAAGAAAGAAAGAAAAAGAATATATTGATATAGGGAAACTAATTCTGCACAACAGATGTTGTTTTATTTTACAGGTATTTGAAATGGAAATGAAAGAAACGCTGGTTGGAGGACTGAGGTGGGGTCAGCTCCCTGCTCTAGCCCAGGGCCCACCCCTACGAGTCTAGATCATCTTTGAGAACCCAAACCCTCAGTGCCCACCTCCTACCCCCAGTCTGTGTTCTTTGTCCAACTAACTTGTGAAGCCAAAGGTGTCAACCCCAAACTGCCTACCCCACCAAGCAGCCCTAGGCCCTCCCTTATTGCGACTCTATTCATGAACATGTCCACGTCCCCAAAGTTAGGATGCAGAAAAGATCTATGCAGGTCGAAGACAAAGAACTGACATGAAGAACAAGTCAATAATTTCAATGTTGTCTTTGTGACTCAAATCTAACTCAAGGTAAAAAAACACATGGTTGTGTGTGGTATGTGTATGAGAGAACTTCAAAAAGCTTGTGAAAAACGAAATTAAAGAACAAGTTTATTTTGGTGCAAAAAATTGACATTTATGCAAAGAATTTTTAATAATATGTGTTCCCATGAACTTTCAAAGACCCCTTGTATGTGTGGTATGTGTATGATTGTATGTGGGTGGCTCAGGGTGTGTGGTGTGAACGTGCGTATATGTGTATGGTAAGTATGGGAGGGGTTCTGCACACACGTACACAATCCAGCGTTTACACTGGACAACAGTGGCTGCCCCTGGGATGGCTAACGAGTGACTCTCTGCTTCCATAGGCTTTCCTCTACTTTGCAACTTGTCCACAATGAGGGAGAAGAGTAATGAGAAGACACTGACACTCAGGTAACCTCAGGTGGCTACATTAAGACCAGCGCCCTTCATCCAGAGGGATGAGTCGAACCTTGTCTACCCCACGAGTGGGCAGCACTCTCCCAAAACTGTCCATGAGATGTTACACACACCTGGGAGTTCTGGATCCGGATTGTCCCGGGTGACAGTGCCTGTGTGACCACCTGGCCTTGTGGAGTGACAACTGTGACAGGTTGATACACTGTGCCACCTAAAAGGGAGAGGAAAGAAATTAAACTACTTGTAAGTTTTGATGACTTACTGGAATTGTCAATATACTGTGGAAGGAATAAAATATCTAGTTTAATGAGCTTTTTAAAGTTCACTTATTTCTTCCATGGGTGAGAGACAAGCACACCCAACAGGGTCTTCCTGCCATAACCTACCCTCAGCCTCAACCAGCCAGGATCATGGGCACACGCACACCTGTGGTTTATGGGGAGGCCTTGGGACAGGCACCCGGGGCCTTGCACTGACCCAGCACTGCTCTACCAGTAGTACTGCTGAGCTCTTTCTTCGTCTCAAATGACCAACAATACTCTGCCAGTTCATGAGTCACTAACTACAAAACATAGTGCCTGGACTGGTGTGCTCAGGGGCCTAGAGAGGTGGGTTGGTTGGCGCTGTGCCTGACAGACACACAACAGCCCTCCTTTGGCCTGCCTCTGCTTTCTGCTTTGTCCTAGAGTTTGCAGACATTAAGGAACTGGATAATAGTTTTTTTTCAGTCCCAGCTCTTAATAAGGCTTTATCATTTTGTTCCACTTCTCAGGTGCCTCTTTACAACTGACTAGGGCACATCTCTACCAGATAAAAATTTATGCCATGGCAAATTAGCCTCTTAGGGCCTTTCCCAACTTCTCTATCCAATGATGAACAGCCACAGTCACTGGCACTGTATCTCTCTTGACTGAAATATCCTTGCTATTCCTTTAAAACTAGATTTAAGGCACTTGTTCCCACAGACGAGGGCTGGCCCCAAGGATAATAGTTTTAAGAAACAGTTTCAGGGGCCGGCATATAGCGTTGTGGTTAAGGGCACTAGACTCCCACATGGTCAACTATGGTTCGAGTCCCAGACCTGGCGGCTTTCTTTCTCACTTTCTCTTTCTCTCCCTCTCTCTCTCTCTCACTCACTCTGTCCTTCTCTAGCCACATTAAAATGAATAAAAAAGTTAAAGAAAGTAATTCTTAAAAAAGAAAAGAAATAGTTTCAAACTAACAGTTGTTATGGTTTATTGTTATCTTTAAAATATCACATAGCAATCTTAGAAATCATCTGACTTGGGAGTCAACAGGTGGCATGGTACTGGGCTTCCATGTGGCCAACCACAGATCAAGTCCTGGACCTGACAGGCTGGCTTTCTCATTTTCCCTTTTTCTCTCTTTCTCTGGTCAAATTAAAAAATAATAATAAGAAGAAATAAAACTAACTATATAAATAATTCTTTAAATAAACTAAATCATCTAGCTTTTAATTTCTGTAGCTGGCAAACTCTTAGATTTTACTCATCAGTCTGCTGAACTATTTTGTTTTCAGACATAGATACCATTCAAAGATTTTCTTATATCCTTATTCTTCACTGTTGTGGCTTACTGAACCAAAGCAGCTGAATTTGAAACAAATTCACTATCACTGCCTTCAAGGATCAACTCATCTTTCTGGGCTTGAGATACTGAACAAGTAACACCTGTTTGCATTCAAACCCTTCAGATGTATTTTTCACCCAAGAAATTTCAGATTTCAACAAGAGACCCACTCTCCTGAATAACGACACTGATGGGGAAATGAGTGTATGAGACCTCATCTTGTAACGGAAGCCCAGTGTAACACCCTTGATCGCGTTCTGTACATGACTATAGGTAGTGTGGAGTGTAGCTAGTTCCCTTCTTTTTCCCCACAGTTTTTCAACCCAAAGCCTCTTTTTTTTTTTTTTTTTTTCTTTCTAAGGAGACTCAGCTCTACATTGATGTGATTGAAGTTCCTTTACAGGGTTCCTCTGGGGCCCTTCACAATAACTGAGTGTCCCTTCAGAGTGATGTCAAGAAAATGTCGACAGTCTGATTGCAGACAATGATACTCATTCTCATAGTAGACATGTGCTTTTTGATCAATGATGGTTTCTTTTTCCTATAAGGTTTCGCTTTATGCTGTTATGTGAAAGTTTTATTGTAAATTCACCTCTCTAATACGTTGACTGCCCCTGGGATGGCTAACGAGTGACTCTCTGCTTCCATAGGCTTTCCTCTACTTTGCAACTTGTCCACAATGAGGGAGAAGAGTAATGAGAAGACACTGACACTCAGGTAACCTCAGGTGGCTACATTAAGACCAGCGCCCTTCATCCAGAGGGATGAGTCGAACCTTGTCTACCCCACGAGTGGGCAGCACTCTCCCAAAACTGTCCATGAGATGTTACACACACCTGGGAGTTCTGGATCCGGATTGTCCCGGGTGACAGTGCCTGTGTGACCACCTGGCCTTGTGGAGTGACAACTGTGACAGGTTGATACACTGTGCCACCTAAAAGGGAGAGGAAAGAAATTAAACTACTTGTAAGTTTTGATGACTTACTGGAATTGTCAATATACTGTGGAAGGAATAAAATATCTAGTTTAATGAGCTTTTTAAAGTTCACTTATTTCTTCCATGGGTGAGAGACAAGCACACCCAACAGGGTCTTCCTGCCATAACCTACCCTCAGCCTCAACCAGCCAGGATCATGGGCACACGCACACCTGTGGTTTATGGGGAGGCCTTGGGACAGGCACCCGGGGCCTTGCACTGACCCAGCACTGCTCTACCAGTAGTACTGCTGAGCTCTTTCTTCGTCTCAAATGACCAACAATACTCTGCCAGTTCATGAGTCACTAACTACAAAACATAGTGCCTGGACTGGTGTGCTCAGGGGCCTAGAGAGGTGGGTTGGTTGGCGCTGTGCCTGACAGACACACAACAGCCCTCCTTTGGCCTGCCTCTGCTTTCTGCTTTGTCCTAGAGTTTGCAGACATTAAGGAACTGGATAATAGTTTTTTTTCAGTCCCAGCTCTTAATAAGGCTTTATCATTTTGTTCCACTTCTCAGGTGCCTCTTTACAACTGACTAGGGCACATCTCTACCAGATAAAAATTTATGCCATGGCAAATTAGCCTCTTAGGGCCTTTCCCAACTTCTCTATCCAATGATGAACAGCCACAGTCACTGGCACTGTATCTCTCTTGACTGAAATATCCTTGCTATTCCTTTAAAACTAGATTTAAGGCACTTGTTCCCACAGACGAGGGCTGGCCCCAAGGATAATAGTTTTAAGAAACAGTTTCAGGGGCCGGCATATAGCGTTGTGGTTAAGGGCACTAGACTCCCACATGGTCAACTATGGTTCGAGTCCCAGACCTGGCGGCTTTCTTTCTCACTTTCTCTTTCTCTCCCTCTCTCTCTCTCTCACTCACTCTGTCCTTCTCTAGCCAAATTAAAATGAATAAAAAAGTTAAAGAAAGTAATTCTTAAAAAAGAAAAGAAATAGTTTCAAACTAACAGTTGTTATGGTTTATTGTTATCTTTAAAATATCACATAGCAATCTTAGAAATCATCTGACTTGGGAGTCAACAGGTGGCATGGTACTGGGCTTCCATGTGGCCAACCACAGATCAAGTCCTGGACCTGACAGGCTGGCTTTCTCATTTTCCCTTTTTCTCTCTTTCTCTGGTCAAATTAAAAAATAATAATAAGAAGAAATAAAACTAACTATATAAATAATTCTTTAAATAAACTAAATCATCTAGCTTTTAATTTCTGTAGCTGGCAAACTCTTAGATTTTACTCATCAGTCTGCTGAACTATTTTGTTTTCAGACATAGATACCATTCAAAGATTTTCTTATATCCTTATTCTTCACTGTTGTGGCTTACTGAACCAAAGCAGCTGAATTTGAAACAAATTCACTATCACTGCCTTCAAGGATCAACTCATCTTTCTGGGCTTGAGATACTGAACAAGTAACACCTGTTTGCATTCAAACCCTTCAGATGTATTTTTCACCCAAGAAATTTCAGATTTCAACAAGAGACCCACTCTCCTGAATAACGACACTGATGGGGAAATGAGTGTATGAGACCTCATCTTGTAACGGAAGCCCAGTGTAACACCCTTGATCGCGTTCTGTACATGACTATAGGTAGTGTGGAGTGTAGCTAGTTCCCTTCTTTTTCCCCACAGTTTTTCAACCCAAAGCCTCTTTTTTTTTTTTTTTTTCTTTCTAAGGAGACTCAGCTCTACATTGATGTGATTGAAGTTCCTTTACAGGGTTCCTCTGGGGCCCTTCACAATAACTGAGTGTCCCTTCAGAGTGATGTCAAGAAAATGTCGACAGTCTGATTGCAGACAATGATACTCATTCTCATAGTAGACATGTGCTTTTTGATCAATGATGGTTTCTTTTTCCTATAAGGTTTCGCTTTATGCTGTTATGTGAAAGTTTTATTGTAAATTCACCTCTCTAATGTGCCCTCTTCTATTTTTTCTTTTCTTTTCTTTTTTTTTTAAGAGGTTTTTGCCTTAGGTTGCATGTGCTCGCAAGAGAGATAGACTGAGTGAGAAGGAAAGTGAGAAATCACCTCCCAGGAGGGATGGCCATGCCACAATCCTTTCTTCTCCATTCCCCGCTCCGGATCTTGGGCACACACATGTGCCTGGTGTGATTTTCAAGTCACCAGGTCCAGGACTCAAACCACGGTCAGCCATGTGGGAGTCTAGCAATATAACTGCTATGCCACCTGCTGGTCCCACCCGCTTCCATTTTCATGATGCTTTGCATCTACAATCCTCTGCATACACCAAGAACTCTGGACCCCTCCTGTAGCAGTTTTTTGTTACATGGATAATACGAAAACTGCATTTTTATCTCATTGTCCTTAATTAGTGAGATAACCCAAAATTTTCTGGGTGGTGCTAAAAGCACAATTTAAAAACTATGTTGAACCAGCAGATGGTATGGTAGTTAAGGCGCTGGATCCCACATGGCTGACTCCATGGTTTGAGTCCCAGACTGGTGGCTTGAAAATTATGCCGTGTGTGTGCGTGTGTGTGTGCCCATGCCCAAAATCCCAAGAAGAAAATGAAAAGAAGGGATTGTGGCAAGGCCACCTCCCATGGCAAGGGGGGATTTCTCACTTTCTCTAGTGAGCATATACACCCTATAGCAAATACTAGGAAAAATAATAAATAAATAAAACAAACTATGTTATTTGAGCCAACAGGTGGCGTAGAGATTAAGACAGCTGGATCCCACATGGCTGACTGCAGTTTGAGTTCCAGACTTGGTGGTTTGAAAAACACTCTAGGCACATGTGTATGCATGCCCCAAATCCTGAGCAGAGACTGGAGGAGAAGGGATTGCAACATGGCCATTCCCTCTGGGGGATAATTTCTCACCTTCTCCCAGCTCTCCCTGTCTCTCTGGCAAGCACACATGCCCAATAGCAGAAAAAAAAGAAAAGGAAATCGCAGTTATTTTTTGCTATGTATTTCAACTTCTACACAAAATCCTTTTTCTTTCCAATATATTTTGGTAGAGAAACATAATTTGCATAAAATATTTGTTACTAGGAATGAACAAGGAACCTCTAGATTCCAGTACTACTATATGAGGAGCTGGCATTAATTAAAAATTGTATTTATGTACTCCAACCTAAAGGCTCTTATTCCTGCATGTCCAGTTTCCCCTGGTCATACCTGCCACAGTTGCCATGGTTACGTTTCCCTGTTGCAGTGCGGAGGCAGGTACCACAATTCCTTGAGGGCTTAGGGTGCCTGTGATGGCACCCTGAATCTGCTGGAAGTCAGAACACACATGTGGAAGGGACTATGAGAAAACAGAAACTCTGTGTCTAAAATTTCAAAATAAGTGTCACAATGAGATCATCAATAAAAGAAAGATGCTTGAGGCAAGAACATGCTCAGGTTACGAGACTTCAGAAAGCTTGCCTTGCAAGCCTTGGAGGTATGCCTAGGAAGAGCCTCTTTCTAATCACAAGTGCACATTTTGACCCCACACCTTTTCATTAGGGTTGGCTCAGACCACCCTAAGTTCTCCAGGAACCAAATTTTCCTTATCAGGACCAGAACTCTCAGTTCACACCACAGGCTTGGGAGCAGCTGGAAATGATCAGGGCTGAAGGTATCCCACATAGTGATGGAGAGTCACCCCAGAGTTTGCCTTGATACAACCCAGACACATGTGCCACTCCCCACAGAGAGTTTGTAGAGGGCTTGGGACTGCGCCTGGCCTGCAGCAAGCTCCATATAGATACTTGTAAATACAGTAGCAGAGACTCTATCCATTAGAAGTCCATGTGAGCTAATTTATATGACATGGCATGGCGGCTTGCCAGGGAGAGGGGTATCAACATATGGCAAGCTCCTGACGTTTGAGCAGTAAGATCGCATCAGTGGACATCACCCAAAGGCGATTATGCTTGGGATGCCATTGATGGGAATGTGTAGTGCTGGTAGGTATGCTTAGTATGCCTCATTCACTTGGTCACAAAAAGTCAAGCCAAGTCAATGACCCAAGCTCCCAACTTAGATCCTAGAAATGGAGAAACACAATGGGCCTGAAGCAAGCAGAAGAAGGAGTAACAAAGATCAGGGCAGAAATCAGTGAAATTGAAAAGAGAAAAAGAAATGAAACAAAATGCTGGTTTTTTGAAAAGATCAATACATAAACCTCTAGGAAGACTGATGAGAGGGAGTAAGAGCGAGTGGGCAAGAGAGAAGACATAAGTTACCAATATCAGGAATAAAACAGGAGATCACTAGAGACCCTGCAGACATCAATGGGTTAAGGGGAACACTATTAGGACCAGCAGATAGTTTAATGGTTACGCCACTGGACTCCCACATAGTCGACTGCAGTTCAAGTCTCAGACCTGGTGCCTTTAAATTCATGCTGGGCACGTATGCATGTATGCCCAAGATCCTGAGAGAATAGAGGAGAAGGGATGGCAGTGTGGCCGCCCCCGGGGGGTATTTCTCGCTTTCTGTCTCTCTGTCTCTCAGATAAGTGAGCACATGCCCTACAGCAAATAAATAAATAAATAAATAAAAAGAATAAAAGTATAAAAGGAAGGGAACACTATGAACAGTTCCACAGTCCTACATTTAATATTTTGCGTGAAATGGACCAATTCTACGAAAGCCCTAAATGATCATAACTCATCCAATATGAAACAGATCATCAAAAGAGTCCTATAACTATTAAAAAAAAAAAAAAAGAAAAGTCAAGCCAACTCAATGACCCAAGCTCCCAACTTCACGTCCTAGAAACGGAGAAACACAATGGGCCTGAAGCAAGCAGATTATTTCAAGTAATTACAATTAAACTTGTCATTTAAAAACTCCTACAAAAGAATCCTTCAGGTTCATGTAGTTTCACTGGGGAAACTTATCTTCCTGTCAAATGTTTAAGGATTTAACACCCTTCTTTTGGCCACTCCTGGTGCTGCCTGTGTGCTCATTCAGTGAGGACCTGGCACCTCGTTTGTGAAGCGGCAGCTGAGGAGACCCCGGCGCTCGCCATGGCCGACTAAAAGCCCAAAGAAGTCAAGACTGAGAACAATGATCATATTAATTTGAAGGCGGCAGGGCAGGATGGTTCTGTGGTGCAGTTTAAGATTAAGAATTATATACCTCGGGGGAACCAGCAGTTAGCGTAATGGCTATGTCGCTGGACTCCCACGTAGTCGACCGCAGTTCACGTCCCAGACCCGGTGGCTTAAAACTCACGCCGGGCGCGTGTGCGTGCATGCCCAAGATCCCGAGAGGAGAATGGAGGAGAAGGGATTGTGGCATGACCATCCCCCCTGGGGGGTGATTTCTCGCTTTCTGTCTCTATGTCTCTGTCTGTCTGACGAGTGCATGCACCCTATAGCGAAAACCTCTCCAAAAAAAAAAAAAGAATTATATACCTTGGAACCAGCAGTTAACCAGCAGAAAACCTCTCCAAAAAAAAGAATTATATACCTTGGGACCAGCAGTAATGGCTATGTTGCTGGACTCCCATGTAGTCAACCACGGTTCGAGTCCCAGACCTGGTGGCTTTGATTCACGCTGGGCGCATTTGCGTGCGTGCCCAAGATCCTGAGAGGAGAATGGAAGAGAAGGGATTGTGGCGTGGCCATCCCCCCTGGGGGGTGATTTCTCGCTTTCTGTCTCTGTTTGTCTGGCGAGTGCACACGCCCTATACCAAAAATTTCTCCCAAAAAAAAGGAAAAAAAAAAAGAAGAGTTATACACCTATTAGTAAACTAATGAAAGCCTATTGTGAATGACACAGTTTGTCAATGAGGCAGACCAGATTCCGATTTGATGGACAGCTGATCAACGAAACAGACACACCTGCACAGTTGGAAATGGAGGATGAAAATACAATTGATGTGTTCCAACAGCAGACAGGAGGTGTCTACTAAAAAGGGAACTTGCTACTTTACTCCAGAACTCTGTTCTATTTTTGAAAGCCTATTGTGAATGACACAGTTTGTCAATGAGGCAGACCAGATTCCGATTTGATGGACAGCTGATCAACGAAACAGACACACCTGCACAGTTGGAAATGGAGGATGAAAATACAATTGATGTGTTCCAACAGCAGACAGGAGGTGTCTACTAAAAAGGGAACTTGCTACTTTACTCCAGAACTCTGTTCTATTTTTAAAAATAACTGTTTTATTGAACTTTATTTATTCATTCATTTATTTACTTTTTTAGTTTGACCACAGAGGGATAGAGTGAGAGAGAGAGAGAGAGAGAGAGTGAGAAGGCAAGCCGCCAGGTCTGGGATTTGAACTGTAGTCAACCACGTGGGAGTCCAGCACCTTTAACCACCACATCACCTGCCAGCCCCCAGAACTCTGTTCTTACAGACCAAGAATACATTCTCAATTAGAAAACCACAATTTGGTTTTGTCACATCCTGACTACCACAGCATAGTTTTCTCTATTCTTTTTGTTTTCCTCTTCCCCATTCCTTTATTGTACATAAAGTAACTGGTGTATGTGCTCAAGCATTTTGCACTTTTTTAAACTAAATGGCCAATGCTATTTTCAAATTGACATCAAATGGACATAGGGACCAGCAGTTAACGTAATGGCTATGTCGCTGGACTCCCATGTAGTTGACCATGGTTTGAGTCCCAGACCTGGTGACTTAAACTCACGCTGGGCGCGTGTGTGTGCGTGCAAAGATCCTGAGAGGAGAATGGAAGAGATGGGATTGTGGCGTGGCATTCCCCCCAGGGGATGATTTCTCACTTTCTGTCTCTCTGTCTTTCTGGTAAGCACGCACACACTATAGCAAAAACCTCTCAAATAAAAAGAAAAAAGAACAAAAAATGGAGAAGGGATAGAGAAAATACTGGTTCTGTGAAAATAGTCCCTTTTTCCATTAGTGACCTGATCATTCACCTCTTATCTTTATATTTCAGTAAGTTATTTTGCTCTCACTGTTTTAACAACAAAAAAAGGGGAAAAAAAAAACCCATAAAAATCCTGTATACCTTGTATGATTGGAGAATTTTACTGTTTTTCATTTATTATTGAAAAACCAAGGGCAATTTTATAACTTTTTTGTATGCAGCTATTACATGTAGGGCAATCTGTCTTTTGGTAGGGGTAAATTACTCTTAATTAGAAAAAAAAAAAAAAAGAAAAGAAATCCTAGATAGTTTTCCCTTGAAGTCAAGCACCTCATTATTTAAATAAACTTCTTGTTTAAAAAAAAAGATTTAATACCAATTATACATCATTTCTTCCAGAAAACATCAGAAATCAAATTATATACTTGCAGAAACATGTTGACACCAAAATTGAAAATATAGTAACATTTATAATCACTCAAAAAAATGAAATACTGAGGTATGATTCTAAAAACACGTCTAGAACTTAACTGTCAAAAACTACAAAATGATGACAAAAGAAATCATAGGAGATGTAAATAAATGGAAAGACATATCATGCTTATGGACTGAACGTCTCAACTTAGTGAAGATATCACTTCTCTCTCCAAATGGATATCGAGGTTGGATGCAATTTCTATCAACACTCCAGTAAGTTTTATTTTTTATTATTTTTTGTTTTGCAGATCTAGATAAGTTTAGAATTTACAGGAAAAGGCAAAGGAATTAGAATAGCTAAAACTATTTCGAAAAACTGTTTCGAAAATAAAGTGAGAGGTCTCCGTCTATCCAATTTTGAGACTTACATAGTTATAGTAATCAAGATTATGTGATACAGGCACACAGATCAGAACAGAACAGAAAACTTAGCAACAGTTCCCATAAATGTGCCCAACAGATTTCGGACAGAGGGACAAAAGCAGTTCAGTGGGGTAAAACATCTTTCTCAACAAATGGCTGAAGCAAAAGAACACTCAGAGGCAAGAATGAACCTTAAACAAACCTCACACTTTATATGAAAGCTGACTCAAAATGGATCACAGATTTAAATGTAAAACATGAAACTATAAAACTTTTAGAAAAAAACAAAATCTTTGAGATCAAGGGCTACGCAAAGAGTTCTTAAACTTTTGACACCAAAAGCAAGATTCATAAAATGAAAAGCTAACAAACTGGACTTTGGCATAATTAAAAATGTTTGCTCTGCAAAAGACCTGTTAAGAGGATGAAAAGAAAAGCTACAGACCTGGAGAAAATATTTGCAAACGATCTGTCCAACAGAAGTATCTAGAATAGTTGAAGAATTTCCAAAATCCAACAGTTAAAATGATCCAATTAGAAAATTAACAAAAGAGGGCCAGCTCCATGGCCCACAAAGTCTGAGTACCGACAAGGCCAAGTGCATGTGCAGGCATACCCATTACCCACTGCGAGCAGTTTATCCCTCTACTTCTGTCACTCTCTGTCTCTCTGTGGCAAATGCTCTCCAAAATTTAAAAGTATTTTCTTAAAAGAACATTGATGAAATAAATTATTAGATTTGTACCAAATATATAAGCACACGAAAAGACATTTAACATCATGAACCATCAAGGAAATGGAAATCAAAACCACAATGAAATTTCACTGACTTACATAGTTATAGTAATCAAGATTATGTGATACAGGCACACAGATCAGAACAGAACAGAAAACTTAGCAACAGTTCCCATAAATGTGCCCAACAGATTTCGGACAGAGGGACAAAAGCAGTTCAGTGGGGTAAAACATCTTTCTCAACAAATGGCTGAAGCAAAAGAACACTCAGAGGCAAGAATGAACCTTAAACAAACCTCACACTTTATATGAAAGCTGACTCAAAATGGATCACAGATTTAAATGTAAAACATGAAACTATAAAACTTTTAGAAAAAAACAAAATCTTTGAGATCAAGGGCTACGCAAAGAGTTCTTAAACTTTTGACACCAAAAGCAAGATTCATAAAATGAAAAGCTAACAAACTGGACTTTGGCATAATTAAAAATGTTTGCTCTGCAAAAGACCTGTTAAGAGGATGAAAAGAAAAGCTACAGACCTGGAGAAAATATTTGCAAACGATCTGTCCAACAGAAGTATCTAGAATAGTTGAAGAATTTCCAAAATCCAACAGTTAAAATGATCCAATTAGAAAATTAACAAAAGAGGGCCAGCTCCATGGCCCACAAAGTCTGAGTACCGACAAGGCCAAGTGCATGTGCAGGCATACCCATTACCCACTGCGAGCAGTTTATCCCTCTACTTCTGTCACTCTCTGTCTCTCTGTGGCAAATGCTCTCCAAAATTTAAAAGTATTTTCTTAAAAGAACATTGATGAAATAAATTATTAGATTTGTACCAAATATATAAGCACACGAAAAGACATTTAACATCATGAACCATCAAGGAAATGGAAATCAAAACCACAATGAAATTTCACTATATATCACTGGCTAAAATACAATAGTACTTAATTGTGGATGAACTTTATTAAGGACATTATGCTAAAAGAACTAAGCCAGACACAAAAGGACAAATACTGTCTGATTCTACTTATAAGAGATACCAAGAGGGGACCAGCAGTTAGCATAATGGCTATGTTGCTGGACTCCCACGTAGTCAACCATGGTTCAAGTCCCGGACCTGGTGGCTTAAACTCACGCCAGGTGCGTGTGCGTGCGTGCCCAGGATCCCAAGAGGAGAATGGAGGAGAAAGGATTGCGGTGTGGCCATCCCCCCTAGAGGGTGATTTCTCGCTTTCTGTCTCTCTGTCTCTCTCTGTCTGTCTGGCGAGTGCACGCGCTCTATGGCAAAAACCTCTCCAAAAAAAAAAAGAGATACCAAGAGGAGTCTAATTTATAGAGAGAATAGAACAGTAGTTGCCAGGGGCTGGGAAGAGAGATGGGAGTTGAGAACAGAGATTCCATTTAGAAAGATGAAAAAGTTCTAGAGATGGATGGGGTGATGGTTGTACAACAATGCTAATGTTCTAAAAGCTTCAGAACTGCATACTTAAAATAAGTATTAAGATAAGTAATAGTAAGTTTTATATCTTAAAAAATAGTAAGTTTTGTATCTATTTTACTTATTTACTCACTTATGAAAGAGAGAAACAAGGAAGAAGAGAGCACCCCACTCTTCATAAACATGGCATGCAGACTGAGCACTCACCTCATACCCTGCATGAAACCCAGAGAAGCAGAATGTCTCTCTTGCTTGAGGGAGTTCATTCCCACATCAAGCCAGGCTGATAGATCTAGGGGGTCCTTAAAGCCACAAAGATAGCCCAGCAATTCTGAAAGAGCTGTGGCTTGGGAATCCCCAGGCTTTTCCGAGGAGCTGAGAAGTAGCACAGAACCCAGACATACCTACCTGGGACTGCACAGGGGAGTATGGGCTTCCAGGCTCTCCACTCAGCAGGGTCTCACTGTTCATTTTCGTTTTCAGACAAGCAATATATCGACTGCAGAAATCTTTGCAGAGTTCATTAACCTTTTCCAGCTCCAGAAGATGAATACGCAAAACCTGGATTGCTTTTACCATCTGGAAGCAGAGAAAATCAAGACTTTCAGATGAGGAAAAGGTAGCTCTGTTCTAGGTTGTCACTGTTACACATACCACTTTTTGATTATTCGACAGAGCCATCTTTATTGTCAACAACAAAAGTGGAATAGCATCAGGAATCATACAGACTGACAAATCGCTTTGGCATTACTTGCCGTGCTTTGGTATTCTGGAGTATGGGGAAGACCAGGAGCCTGTGCCAACCTCAGCAAGTCCTGGTTCTGAAGTGCAGGCTCTGGGCCTGCAGACACCTGGACTGCAGCCTAGCCCACTGCTGATGCACTCCGTGGAAGGAAAAGTTGCTTGCTCTTGCTCTACTATCCCTGCCTCTATTAAATCTGTACTCACTGCAAAGGGGAGTCTTAATTTCAATACAGTTCAGTTTATCAACTCTGCCTGCATGGGGCAATGCTTTGGGGGCTAAGCCTAAGCACTCTTTCTTTTGTCCTAGATCCTAAAGATTTTCTCTTCTGATTTTTCTACAAGTTTTATGGTAAATCACTATGGTTTGAAGTAATTTGTCCCACTGCAGTAGCTAGCTTAAACCACAAATGAAACCAGCAGCATCAGCAGCACTTAAACTATGAGTCAAAAACTCCAAGGCTCATCTTCACCTATAAACTTGGTGCTGATGACTCACATTATTTGTGCAATGCACGAGTAATTTGATCAATCAACAAGAATTACTGAGCATCAGGCCCTATGAAGTCCTGTGCTAAACACCAGTCAGGAGAACTTTGGTTCCTGGGAGGGCCCACACCTACACCCCACCTACTGAACCAGGAAGGTGTGGGCTAATGCAAAGATGGATGCATGACAGAGACTCAGGAGACAGATTTTCTGATCCTCACCCCAAAGTCTTTCTTCAGAGATGAGGAGACAGACTCAAAGTAATATAACACACCTATAAAATTGATTAGGGGGGCAGCACATGGTGTGGTGGTTAAGACAGCTGAATCCCACATGTATGTCCAAGTGGTTGGAATCCTGGATCCAGCGGCCTGAGAAACATATTGGGTTCATGTACATGCAAGCTCAAATGCTAAAAGGAGAAATGGAGAAGAGACTGCAGTATACCATCCCCCTGGTCCCAGGGCTGTGGTTTCTCATTTTCCCTCTTTCTCTCTCTCATCTCTCCAGTGAGTATATACACCCTTTGGCAAATTAAAAACCAATTAAATTAAATTCAAGTCTAGAGAGTTCCCAGAGTATACGAGGCATGTATGTGACCATGACCCAGAGCTGGCTGAGGACTGTGGGTGGACTGTGGTATCAAAATCCCGTTGGGGGTACTGTTTTCCTATCTCATGTGTACATATACACATGGAGGAAATAAATGATATACTTTAAGAAAAAAATTACTTTAGGCCTAGCCGCTATAGCACAATTGGTAATATATTGGACTGCAGAGCTGGAAGCCACATGCCAACCACTGTTTGAGTCCTCAGCCCAGCTGACTTGAAAACGCTCTGGACGCGTGTACAAAACCCAGGATCCCGAGGAGTGGGGGACTGGTCAAAGAGGATTGCAGCATGACCAAGCTCTGTGGAGGGTGCATCCGGCTCTTTCTCTCATGCATGTGCACATGCTCTATCATGAATTTTAGTAAAAGAAAAAAACAGGGCCAACAGGTGGCATGGTGGTTAAGGCTCTGGGTTCCCACATGGCTGACCCCAGTTCAAGTTCCAGATCCATCATCTTGAAAATCACAATCAATCGATCCATCAATCAATATTTTTAAAAATTTTAAACGGGGGAGAAAAACACGCACACACACTTTAAAGTCTACAGCTGCATGAGCATGTGCTGGTGTGCACATACGCACCACTTCTACGGCATCTCTGTTGAGCTAGAATCGCACACCACACAGCTCATCCACCTCAAGGGTGCAGTTCAGTGTCCAGACTAGGGATGAACCAGAAGGGAAGTTAGGCCCAGATATGCTGAGTGAGCACCACAGCCCTGTGAACCCTTAGATGTAGGAGAGACTTAACACACCAGTCCCCGCGCACCCACTTCCCTTTCCTAAAGAGAAAGGTAACTGAGAGGACAGCAGTCCTGGGGATACCCAAGTTAGACACACCAAAAGACAGGACGTCTCACATCTGTGCGATGCTCCCCTCTCCCAGAACTACAAGGAGTCTAAAATTCTCATTAGAAGTTTAAGACTTCTGGAGCCAATTTAAAACTTTGAAAACTAAAAACAAACCTTTCATTACTTACCAAGTTGTCAGTTTCTGGATCTTCACAAAAGAAGGGCTTCCCTTCCTTCTCTTGCTTCCTCACAAAATTCTCTATATCCACATCGAAGCTGGCGGATGTTGTGCCCTCAGAGCCCTGGGTAGACTGCTCACATTTTTCAAACAGCAGAGCTAACAACGGAAACAGTGGATGCCTGAGGAGAAAGAAAGAAGATCAAAGAACAAATGTTGTTCTACAGCTGCATGAGCATGTGCTGGTGTGCACATACGCACCACTTCTACGGCATCTCTGTTGAGCTAGAATCACATACCACACAGCTCATCCACCTCAAGGGTGCAGTTCAGTGATTCAGTACATTCGGAGTTATGCAGCCACAGCTACAGCTGACACGGGCTGTCTGCAGTGGGTTATTTACGAACTTCAGACAGCCTTAGCATACCTGTGCAAGGCTTTCTAGGAGAGCTGCAAATGGAACTGCATGTTGTAAAAATTACTCGGGTCACACATTGCAATAGGGATAAACCTTAAGAACATTATGCCAGGGCCAGCAGGTGGGTGGCATGGTGGTTAAGGCCCTGTATTTCCACATGACTGACCATGATTTGAGTCTTGTACCAGGCAACTTGCTTTCTTACCTTCCTTCTTTGTCTTTTTCTGGTCAAATTAAAAAGTAACAATAATAAACTTAAATAAAAAAAAAATTTAAATAAAAGAACTTTATGCTAGGACCAGCAGATGGCATAGCAGTTATGTCCCACATAGTCAACTGCAGTTCAAGTCCTGGACCCGGTGGCTTAAAACTCATGCTGGATGTGTGTGTATGCGCATGCCTAAAATCCCTAGAGGAGAATGGAGGAGATGGGACTGTGGCATGGCCATCCCCCCCGTGGGGGTGATTTCTTGTTTTCTGTCTTTCTCTTTCTGTCAAAGTACATGTGCCCTATAGCAAAAATCTCCCCCATTCCCCAAAAAAGAATTATAAAAAGAATATTATGCTAATTGAAGTAATCTGCCACAAAGAGACAGATATTGTGTGATTCAGCTTCTATGAGGTTTCTAAAATAGTCAAATTCATAAAAACGGAGAGTCTCAATAAAATGGTGGTTAGGGGCTGGGAAGGAGGGAGGGGAAAAGGATGATTTATTGTTTAATAGGTACAGTATCAGATTTTCAAGATGAGAAAATTTTGGAGCCCTGTTTCACAGCATTATGAATATACTTTACACTACAAAACTGTACACTTAAAAATGGTTAAGATGATAAGTTTTTTGTTATGTGTTTTCCACTACAATTGTTTAATTAAAAAAAACAAACAAACACACCACCACAAAAAACAAAGGGTCAGCAGGTGGTGTGGTGACTAAGGCACTGGATCCCACATGGCTGATGACACAGTTCAAGTCCCTGACCTGGTGGAATTAAAAAAAAAAAACAAAAAAAAACACTCTAGGTGCATGTATGCCTAAAATCCCAAGAGGAGAATGAAGGAGGGATTGTGGTGTGGCCATCACCCTGCAGGGGTGATTTCTCACTTTACTTCTCTCTCTGTCTCTCTCTAGCAAATGCACATGCCCTACAGCAAAAAAGAAAGACCAAAATACTCTCCAAAGGAATATCCCCAGTTACCTCCTTGCTAACAGTAGCACAGCATCCTTGTCTTCCCCGACCCTGGCCATCACCACTGTTACTGATTTTTACATCAGCCAATCCGGTAGACCAAAAAATATATTTCACTGTTGAATGAGTTTGGCTATGTGCTGTCCTCTTCAGGGAACTTGTTACTTTTATTTTAGGCTGTCTGTCTTTTTCTTATTGATCACTTTAAACTTTCACAATATATTAATATTTTGTCTTATATTACACAAATTTCCTTCCTGTCTTTTTACTTGTTTTTTTGGTCACAAAGTAGTTTGTTTTGGGCATCCAAATTGTATCATCTTTTTTTGGTTTTTGAGTTTGTGCCATATTTAATAGAAGGCCTTGAGCCAGTAGATGGTGTAGCAGTTACTTTGCTAGACTCCCACCTGGTCAACCATGGTTCAAGTCCTGGACCTGGAGGCTTAAAAATCATGCCAGACAAGAGTGCATACATGCCCAAGATACTAGGAGGAGAATGGAGGAGATGGGATTGCGGCATGGCCATCCCTCCTGGGGGATTGATTTCTTCACTTTTTCTCTCACTGTCTTTCTCCCCCCAGTAAGCACACATGTCCTAAGGCAAAAACCTCTTAAAAATAGGCCTCTTTAACTCAAGGTTACACATATACTTTTTTTCATTTCTTATATTTTTAATATGATATCATTTGGATCATTTTATTATTTTTTAAATTTGTCAGAGGGCATATGTGTAGCCAGAGAGAAATAGAGAGGGAAAGTAAGAAAACACACCCCTCCGCTTCCATGGAGAATGGTCATGCCATAATCTCTTCTCTTTCATCTCCCTACTTTGGGGGTTTGGGAAATGCATGCATACACGCCAAGCATGCGTCTCAAGCTGCTAGGTAGGTCTGGGACTCAAACTGTGTGGTTAAACATGTGGAATCCAGCTACCTTAAACATCAGGCCATAGGCTAGCCCTGTAGCCCTGCATATACTGTATGTTTACGCATATACATACCTCTTTGCCTAAACTCTGAATTCTATTACACTAATTCACTCCTTAAGTATCCCTGTGTTAAGTCATGCTAATAAATGCCATGTAACTCATTTTATATATATATATATATATACACACACACACACACACACACACATATATATATGTAGAGAAAGAGGCATATATAGAGAATTTTACTTTATAAAAACAATATATTTGGGTATTTTATATATAGTATAATTTATCAGTCTAGTTAATGTTGACAAACATCACTGTTACAAGTCACCCATTACATATGCAAAAGAACCCAAAGGACATTCAGCAGACATTGTACCCCTGAAAGACAAAATGTCTGATTTTTTTTTCTTGTATTTTTTGAAGAAGATACTCCATTTGTAAATTTAAGTTTGGTTGGCCCTTTTTAGTCTTCTTGCTCAATACTCTTCTATTTTCCTTTTTCTAGAGCCTTTGAGCTTCTTCTCTCTTGTTCTCTCAAATTCTTGTTTCTTAGCAGCATGCTTAGCTTGTACCTATTCATATTCTTCTTGTGCTTTCTGATTTGAAGTTTTCTTTTTCTTTTTCTTTGGAATTGTAATGGAATTTACTAGTTGGCACTGTTCTGGCTGAGCACTACACTGATCTTTAGACCAAGCCTGGTCAGTGCTACATTTCATTTTTCTTCAGGAAAAAGTTGATCTTCTTCTAACAAACGCTTGACAACTTAGTTGCTTCTTGAGTCTTTTCTCTTAAGCTTAACAGAGATGTCTCAGATGATTTGGGTATCAGTCTGTGAATTGGAGTCCTGTGATGTTTGACCCTTCTTTTCCTTGCTTAATACTTTCCTGTAATTTTGCTGAATCTTAAGTTTTCTTCTAAATGCAAAGAGCCTTGTTCCTCATGAATGTTCCCCATGCAGGCTTGCAGACTGTTAGGCCACCATGTCCTCTGTTTCACCTTCTTATATCTGAATTCTACAGGAGAAGCCCCTTCACCACCTGTCCCTAAACTCCCAGTCCACAACCTTGCCGCTGGCCTACCTGGCGCCATCTTGGACAATTTCACTAATAGACTATATTGAACTTCTTGATGTGACTTCATTCACTCTGTTCTTTTCTCAGAGTTCTTAGCTATTCATATATATTTTTCTCTACCAAAAGAATTTTAGAATCAGTCTATCTTTTGTTTGTTGGTTTGTTTGTTTAAATCCTATTAGAATTTGATTATATTGCCTTAAATTTATAAATTAATTCAGGAGAAAGTAAAATCTTTATAATGCAGTGTTCTCATCCAGGGACATGTAACAGATCTCCACGGCATCAGGTTTTGGGTAACATTCCTCACTAAAATGATTTTTAGTTTTCTCTGTGCAGTTCTTGCATACTTGTTAGGCTTTTTAGAATTCGTACTATTTTTACCATCAGAGGGTTCCTGTGCTCACCAGAGGGGGGGAAAGTGCCTTCCAATGGGGCTTGGTCACACCACAATCCCTTCTCATTTATTTCTCCATTCCATGGGAATTTGGAGCACACATGGACAGGCACCACATATTTCCCAGGCCACCAGGGCCAGTACTTGAACCTCAGTCCATCAAGTGTGATCGGACTCCCCCTGCACAGAGCTTAACCACTGCACTATAAGGCAGGCCTTACTTTTAGATTTATATCTAGTTATTTTATAGTTTTCACAGATATTCTGAGTGGAATTGCTTTATTTTAAAAATACTTTATTTGGAAGCTAATTTATTTTTAAAGTTTATATAAGGCACGCACTCACTGGAGAGAGACAGAAAGAGAGGTGGAAAAAAGCAAACACACCCCTCACAGAGTGATGGCCATGCCACAATCCCTTCTCTTTCATTTTCCTTTAGGGATTTTGGCCATGCATATGCTCCTGGCATGTTTTTCAAACAGCAGATCTGGAATTCAAAGCACATTGTTGGCCATATGGAATCCAGCACCTTAACTAACATGCCACCAGTTAGTCCTGATCATTTTTTCCTCAATTTTGACCACTGTGGTTTTTAATTTTAATTAATCTATTTATTTTTAACTTTATTTATTTAATTTGCCCAGAGAGGAACAGAGTATGAGAGCGAGAAGGTCAGAAAGCAAGTTGCCAGGTCTGGGACTCGAACCGTAGTCGGCCATGTGGGAATCCAGCACCCCACTATGCCATCTGCTGGCCCCAACCACTGTGTTTTTTATATTTTATTTCATACATTACCCAGGGCCAGGCCTGTAGTCTAATGACTAAAGGAGGCAGATACTACATGGTCAACCATAGTTTGAATCTCAGCCCCAATAGCTTGAAAAACACTCCGGGTATAAGCATTTCCAAATTCCAACAGGATGGAGAAATGGAGGAGAAAGAATTGTAGCAAGCCATACTCCACTGGGGGTGCCCCACTCTCTGTTTTTCTATCTGGTGAGCATACACGTTCTCTGGCAATTAAAAAATAAAAAGAAAAAAGGAATGATTGACAGTGACGTTGTCTGTTCTCAGTATACAGGTTAGTAAATTCAACGTGTGCAGATTTGTGAAAACAACACCAAAATCAGGACCAGAACAGCTCCAACATCCAAAAGGCCCCTCTGCAG